AAATGAAAAGCTTTTTCAAAACTCCACCATTTTGTTGCAATTCAATATTTTTTGACATCCGAGAGTCATTGTACGGCAAATATCTTCGACTTAAATAAACTTTTTGTTTTTTTTATTTCAGTCCCTCAGAAGGCCGCAATCACTGCAGCGCAGTGGGAAAACTGGATTTTTTTTTATATAGCGAATAACTCTTAATTAAAAAAGAATATTTTTCTTTGAAAAAATTACAAAATGTTGACTATTTATACAAATATGTATACATGTACAAAACTGTATAAAAAATTAGATGCAATAATTTCCCTGAAAAAAATTCCTAAAAATCACCGTTTTCTTCAGTCACTCACACTAAACTTTTATAGTAATGTAAATTTTATAAAAAAAGTATAACAACTTTTAATGTTTCAAAGATTTATTCACGATTATAAAATAAAATGTATGTAGTTCTACAATTATAAATAAAAATATAATTTTGTTTAATATAAAATGTGATTTTATTTCGAATCTATATTAATAAAATCAGACTTTTGTCTGTACATTGCACGAAATTAATTTTTAATAGCATAATTTATTTATTTGAACAACGAAGAATCCAAAAATGGTAATAGAAAATTTCATGTCTGTATGTATGTATGTATGTATGTCCGCAAAATTTTGTACGCGTATAACTTGAAAACGTCTTGACCGATTGAAGTAAAATTTGGCAATCTTTTAGATATTGGTCTAACTTAAAATATTAGCTATATTTGATGAAAAAATATTGAGCTAAACAAAAGTTATGAATTTTTCAAAAAATTCAAAAAAACATTTTTTTTTTAATTTTTGCAGATTGGCATACATTTTTTAATTTATTAATAATTCCAATGATTATAAAGATATATAACAATAAATTAAATTAAAAAATAATATTAATATGAAAAAAAATTATAAATTTTCCAAAAAATTCGAATTTTTTTTTTAATTTTGACATATTGCTGTAAATTAATCAGTTTAACTTTTATAAGATATATATAAACAATAAATTTACAGATTTTAAACATATTAATTAGAACGGGAGGTATTCAATTTTTTCAAAAAATTAAAAAAATTGAAAATTTCCAAATTTTATATTTTTTATTGTATATCTTTTAAACTTTCAGTAATTAAATATTACATGTTATTTTGTCATATTTTAACATAATTTTGAAAAAAATACTGTCCTGTAACTATAAGATGAAAGTATAAGTATAAAAATGTTTTTAATATAAAAAAATTGAAAAATTATAATTGAGAGACCAATTACTATCAAGCTTAATTCAGGAGTATTTTTGGGGTCTCTGATAAACTTTTGACTTCAAAATAATGGAATTTAGAATTATTTGTTTATCCAATTAATCAACAATTTTCAATTGCAAAAATTTCGAAAATATTAAAAATGGAGATTTTTTATGATAAAATTGATATTGCAGAAATTCAAGAATACCTCTGTGATAAGATACTTGCATTATGCTACTGGGAAAAAACTTAAATAGTAAAAAGTTTTGTTATTTTAATTCTTGATTTAACTTTTAGGGATGTTTTGAGCATTATGTAAAGGCAAAAGTTAAACAAGGTGTCTATTATTATTTTTGTTTAACAAACTATCCGGTTTTTCCCAGCTTTGTCCAAATTTTTACAGGTGTATCTTTTCTCATCAAATATAAATTTTCTTGAGAAGAATTAACATTAAATAAATCTACAAATGGCTACAAAAATTCACTCATTTTATGAAAATACTCTTCGACGGGTTTTTGTTTTTACTGATACTTTTAACAGGGGTTCTACCAACTGGAAAAAACGGGAAATATGCAGGAATTTAATTTAATTGGGAAAAACTGTGAATTCAGCCTGCAATATAGGTCTTATTTTAGATTTTAGCAATTATGATACAATTAATTGTGGATGGAAATTTTGTTTGGATATTTAAGAAGTAGTTATGTTGTAAATTTTGTTTATTATAAATCCATAATTTATTATACTCCCAGCTGATACAATTAGTTCGAATTTGACTTCATTGTAACTCCAAAAACTGGTGGAAATTTTGGATTAACTTATAATACAATAATTAAATTTCTACAAATAATTGACAAACATTGTTCTCTGCATTTTAATTAATTAAAAATAAATTATTTGATGATAAAAAGTCAATCACTGATTTAAAATAGTAATATTTATCTAATGAAATAGTTAATGGTAGCTAATTATTATTTTTTCCGGTCAATTTAAATTCTCCGCTATTTCCCATTTTTCGAGACTGGTAGACACACGCTATTTAATGTATTAGAAGAAACTAAAACCCGTCGAAGACGGGTACGACAGCTAGTTTATAATAACAATAATAATAATAATAATAATAATAATAATAATTTTTTTTTTTTTTTTTTTTTGCGTGGGAAGTGGAAAATCTGCTATAACCTTGGAGGCCTACTTCCAAGTCAGATACCTGGAGCCCGTACTCCTAGGTTATGTGGGGATGACCGCTCTTGTTCTGGCCGACCCACTAAAAACCACTCCCTTTTGAGACATATCTCCCCTGGCGGAACTGCCGTCAAGCTTAACATCGCCAGTGGAGGTCTCCTTACCTACTTCCAGATCCAAAATTCTTAACTAAGCGCTAGCGGAAGAGGGAGGAGGTCCAGTTAAGGTCTCCTCCGTCTTCCGCGAGCGCCCAGCTGAGCTGCAGGAATTCTCCGATGGTGTTGTGACATCCTTCTGTCCTTTTCCTTTGTCTGCATGACTTTGATGACAAAGGACTCTATCTCACGCCATGAGTCTGCACTCTGTAACATAATTTGAACCATGTTCTCGACCGTGACTTCAGTGCCCACGGCCGAAAACATGGCTTCCCTAAGTCCACGCCAGTGCCCGCAAGAAAAAAGCGTGTGCTCCGCGTCGTCAATGTGCTCTGCTTCGTCGTCACCCGAACCGTTGCAGTACACACATTTCGCGTCTGCTTCTATTTTAAACCGATAAAAGTACTGTCCGAAACAACCATGACCCGACATCGCTTGTGTAAGGTAGTAGCCTACTTCACCGTGTTGTCTTTCCAACCATGTGGCGAGGTGGGGAATCAGGCGATGAGTCCATCTACCTTTTAATTCCCCATCCCATCTCTCCTGCCAACTCAGAACGAGTCTTTTTCTTGACTCTAAGCGGATTAAAGCTTTGAGTCTTTCTCTACGCTCAGGGTTGCCTACTAGATCTTTGGAGAGCTGGAAATTCTCCTGCCTTTCCATCGCCAACAAATCCATTGGCGGTAATCTAGCAAGCACCCGAAGAGCGCAATCAGACACCGTTCTGAAGGCTGACGTTATTCTCCTTGCTGGCTCTCTCTGGGCCGAGAGAAGTCTGTCAGAGATGCTGTGGATCTTAAGGGCTGAGGCCCATACAGGGGCAGCATAAAGCTGCTTTGATTGAACCACAGTCGCCACTAGTCTTCGTTTATTTTCCCTGGGGCCACCGATATTGGGCATCATCCTCGAGAGGTTTCCCATGCATTCGGTGGCTTTGAGTGTTGAGATGTTAATATGTTGGCCAAAACTTAAACGTTTGTCCAACCACACTCCCAGGTACTTAAGCTTATTTCCCCATGCGACTTCAGTTCCTCCCATTTCAATTTTCGGGGCTTCATAAACTCTCCTGTCTGTGACGAGCAGAGCTTCGGTCTTTTCGAGGGCCATTTTCAGACCATGCCGATATAGCCAAAATTCAGCTCGCCGCAGACTATCTTCAAGTTTTATTTTTAGCAGTCTCAAATCCTCGTCATAACATATCAAAAGCACGTCGTCCGCGAACCCGGATATAGACGTATCTTCGGGTAAGCCCAACCTCAGAAAACCGTCGTACATAACGTTCCAGATGGTTGGTCCCACCTTTGATCCTTGGGGAGCTCCGCATGTCATTTTCTCTTTGATATGACATGCATCGCTCTTGTATTCAACCCATCTGTCGCTAAGATAGTTGTCTATCATTCGCAACAGATACGTTGGTACCCCTTTACATCTCATTGCTTTAATACAAATGTCCCATTTCGCGGAATTGAACGCGTTACGGATATCGATTGAAACGAGTGCGCAAAAACCCTTCTTACGTCCCTCTTTGACTCTTTTCGCTTTTTCGAGAACTGCTAAGATCGCGTCTACTGTCGACCGGCCTTTCCTAAAACCGAATTGATTCTCTGATAGGCTATTTTCGCCTACCAGGATTCCCTGAAGTTGCTCTAGAATCATTCCCTCTAGAAGTTTACCCATCGTGTCCAATAAACAAATTGGTCTAAACGATGAGACTTTATCTAGAGGTTTATCCCCTTTTCTCAGGAGGACCAACCTCTGTGTTTTCCAGTCACTGAAAAACTCTCCACTCTCGAGACATGTATTAAAGACGTCGAGAAGCAACTCTGGATACACAGCGATTACCTCTTTGAGGATCTCGTTGGGTATTCCGTCGATGCCTGGCGCTTTGCCGTTCCTTAACGTCTTTGCCACCTTTTTAAGCTCCTCCAGCGTGAAGAGCTCCTTCCTTTGCACTACACAAGAGGAAAAGTCCTCCCTAGGGCCAGATTCCACATGGGGAAACAGCGCCTTAATAATCTTTCGGACCCAGATTGGATTGTCAAGACCAGGGGTTCTTTGCCTCGAAACTAATTTCTTAGTGACGACTTTGTAGGCCAAGCCCCATGGGTCCTTCTCCGCTTCTCCAATCAGGTCCTTCCAACACGATTTTTTGCTACTCCTTATAGCCCGCTTAAAAATCTGCCTGGCTTCTTGCCACTCTTCTTGCAGCAGAAGGTCTCCCTTAGATTGGGTATATTTCCTTCTTGCTGCATGGCATTCTCTCCTTAAGCGAGCTAGTTCGTCATTCCACCAGTACAGAGCTCCCTTCCTAGTTCTTTTTTGTTGCCGGCGAGGCATTGAGTAGTTGCACGCTGCAATAATTACTCGCCTCGCCTCACGCACTTTATCACCCACTGAAGTTGGCTTCGTCATCTAGCCTAACTCGTGTATAGCCCGAGCATCGGCTAGTGACTCCACCAACTTCTCCCTATTTAGCCGTCTGAGATTCCAGGAGGGACTCTTGTGACCAATATGCGGCCTAATGTTCCCTCTCGGATTTTTCTCAGCGACTATAAACTCTATGTACTGGTGGTCACTCATAGTCGTTTCGTCCAGCACCTTCCACCGCGCGAATCTACGGGCCACGCGGGGCGACGCAATTGTCAAATCAATGATGGACCCTGATACCCCGCGTCTGAACGTGAACTCTCGTCCCCGGTTCATCACCACCAAGTCGTTTGCTGCAACCATGTCCGACACCAAGGTTCCCCTCTTGTCTAAACGGGTCTCCCCCCATTCCGGCGACTTACTATTAAAGTCTCCCGCAATGAGGACATCCCCGCCGAAAGCTTTAATGCTTTCTTCAAAAGCCTGAACCTCGGCCTCGAACTTTTTGAGGGGATCATTTGGAGAGAAGTAGCAGCTGTAAACACGTACCTCGGCCACCTCTATCCAAACGAACCCCCTATCGGTCTCCAGAAAGTCACCGATGGCGATGTCCGGGTTACATATTTGAATACCTGATCCCTTTGATGCATCCTCAAACCAGACAGAGGATTCTGGCTTCCTATACTGCTCACTGAAAAGCAGTATATCAGCTCCCCTCTCTCTGGCAGTCTGCATCAAGAGATCTTGCGCGACTTTTCCCTTCCTGAGATTAACCTGGAGAAACCCAAGCTCTGGACTTTAGATCTGTTAGTATCTTCCAGTACACCGGGCAGGCCCTGCTCCCTGAAGGATGTTTTGTGTCTTCCATCCCACGATCGGAACAGTCAATGCACTGGGCTACCCCTTTGCATTGACTCTTCCTGTGGTCGAGACCGCCGCACCTCCAGCAAGCCTCCTTTCGGTCCGGCCCACTGCATCCTCCAGCCAGATGGCCGTAACAGAGGCATCTAAAGCACCTCTCTACTTCCACTCTGGCATGGACTCTGCAGTTGACCCACCCTATCTTTACTCGCCTGGCCTTCAATAACGACTCCGCTTCCGTTTCCGGGAGCCGCAGAATGGCCTTCTTCGTGCTACCATACCGAGCGAAAAGCTGACACGGAACTTCTAAGTCTGGTCTGCCAAGTGCACCCCGGACCGCCAATACAACATCTTCTTGGACTATGGTTTCGTCAAGGTCCAAAATTTTTATCGACCTCATCGAAACCACAGTCCTTACTTCTGCCTCGCCCTGAAGAGCAGCGGTCAAGGCTCTGCCGAAACCCAAGACGCCCTGTCCCTTTTTGAGTACCAGAAGGAGATCGTTCCTTTTGGTCCTCCGAATCGACAGTATCTCCGTCTGCGTATCCTCAGGCCTAACCGCCGCCTTCATTTTGCTCATAATGTTTGGATCTTTCGTAGATATCACGATCGCATCCGTCATTTTTTCTCTCTTTTTACGTGGAGGTCGATCAGTCTCTTTGATCGACTCCCCCGTCTTTTCTTCCAACTTCTCTGCATCCCCCTTCTTTTTTTTCTTTTTCTTCTTTTTCTTGACCTCTTTCCAGGTTTCATTTTCCTGGAGAGAGTTCAATTTTTCATTTTCTTCGGTAGCAGGCTTGCTGTCCCCCGGGTCCAGCTCGCCTGTTTTGCCCTTCTTTTTCTCCACTTTCTCTGGTGGTGTCCCAGAGGCATCTCTCTTTTTTCCTTTTCTTTCAGAGTTCGGAGTCGCCAAGGGTATTGTCCCCTGGCGGCCTCGAGCTCTCTTCTGGCTGAGGGAATCTACTATCTCTAAATTATGAGAAAAGCAGGCCCCCTCCTCCATCATATCTTTTAAGATGCCTCTGAGGCTATCACTATGGTGATATGCCTCTCTGGCACTGATTTTCACCTCCCTGGAGTTGTTCTTGAGCATCCCTTCCTTCACTATTTCTAGTGATTTGAAGAGTTGCTCAACCACCACAGACTGCTTCTCCATAAGTCCAAGAATGACTTGCCATTCTTCGACGATCGGTGAAGCAGTCCGCGACACCAGAGTCTCCTTTTCCTTTTCAATGATGGACTCAGAGGAAACTACGCTCTCCGTCTCCATCATCACTTTTCCGTCACCGTTATGGTCAGAAGGACCAGTGTGCTGTTGGCCCCCTCCAAAATCCGTGGGCCTTGCGTCGACCATCGGGGCTTTCACCCGATCGGAATCGACGTGCCGGCAGGGATGGCGAGCGTGGATAACAGGAGTTGCCCATTCATGGAAGATGCCGTTTATAGACTATGTCTTCCCAATCACCAAGACAAAACAGAACAAAAATTTCATACTGAACCCACCGGTTCAGATTCTTTCTGCCCATTCAGAGGGGTAATGTGTTTATAACAATACCCTCCATTAATACCATTCCCTAACATACTGATATCCAGATGGTCCCCACCTCAAAAGCTCTCCAAACTACCCTCCTCCTCCTACAAACAACTCAGCACACGTACACACATTTTATGTAAAATAATACACAAATGGATGCAGATGAGCAGAGAAGATGGAGTCCCGGGCTTGGGACCGGTTCAAAGCAGAGTTCCGCAGGCCCCACGGATTTTGGGGGGGGCCAAAACAATAATTAGCCGTTAATATATGAGACAAATGTCTCAGACCAGTTCGTGGCTATTCCGGGAATCTTCAAAAGCTTGCGCCAGGGATTCAAGCGCCAAAAGAACGTCAGTCGGGAAATCCAGGATGGCGTGACGGTTTTGGAAGGTGCGTTTGAGATAATCTGTAGGAATTTACGTTTTATCCCCAAGCCTTTCATACACCAGGAGCCGCAACACCCAACTGTGGTAGCTCCACAGCAGACGGAGAGCACTACTGCACCTCTGAACGGCGCAAAGACATGTCCTAATAAGGCAAAAGGCGTTAATAAACGCCCCACGGAAGGTACAAGCCCAGATGCGAGTCCGCGACGGGCGACTCAAGGCGGGAAGAGAATCAAGCGAAAGGAGGCTCCACAGCTCGGTTCTGAGTCGCTGGTTGGAGCAAGAGAGGCGCCCCCAAACAGCCCCGGCAAGTCGTATGCTGAGACCGTCTTGAGGGACGGAGCGGACAATGGAGACGGTTTCAAGGTTGTTAAAAACAAGGAGAAACGGACTCCAAAAGAGAAACCCCCAGGTGAGAAAAAGGAGCTTCCGAAGCCCCCTCCGAAGCTAAGGAGCACGGAAGCTGTCAAAACTACGGCAAGCGACCCAAAGTTTTACGAGGGCACCCTGCCGCTAATAAAAGCAAAGGTAAACCCAGAAGACACGGGTATAATAATAATAATAATAATAATAATATATAATAATAATAATAATAATATAATAATAATAATAATACTAATAATAATAATATAATAATAATAATATATAATAATACTAATATAATAATAATATATAATAATAATAATATAATAATACTAATAATAATACTAAATAATAATAATAATAATATAATAATAATACTAATAATAAATAATATAATAATAATAATAATAATAATAATAATAATAATAATAATAATAATAATAATAATAATAATAATAATAATAATAATAATAATAATAATAATAATAATAATAATAATAATAATAATAATAATAATAATAATAATAATAATAATAATAATAATAATAATAATCATAATAATAATATATAATAATAATAATAATCATAATAATAATAATAATAATAATAATAATAATAATAATAATAATAATAATAATAATAATAATAATAATAATGCAGCACCAGCGTGGGCTCCATCCCTGAGGAGTAAAAGATGTGTGACCATCTGTGAAAAGATACTGTCTGCGCAGAGATCGATAACAACGCGTATCATCTCTGCATATAAGACGGTATCTACGAGTGCTGTGCAGGTCCTTGCAAGTGTCCCGCCAGCAGATCTTTTGGCGAGGGAAAGGGAAGAAATGTTTCTCTTTTCTAAAGAAAGCAGTTCCTTGAATGAGGAATTAAGACCAAGCAAGGGCCTGATCCGCAAAGAAGCGAGGCACAGGCTCATAGAAAGATGGCAAGAAAGATGGGATGGTGAGGAAAAAGGTCGATGGACTTATCGCCTTATCCCGGCACTCGCCACCTGGATAAATAGGAAACACGGTCAGGTTTCCTATTACTTGACTCAGGCGTTCACAGGTCACGGGTGTTTTAACTCGTACCTGTGTCGCTTTAAATTACGCGAGAACGAGGTGTGTGCATATTGCCAGTTCCCTGAGGACAACGCGGAGCACACCCTCTTCTCATGCGGAGCCATACCTTAGAAGGGACTGGAGTTTTTGCAAAGTCGAAGAGGAAGAACTCTTCACACTTAGTGAACTGCAAAAAGCAGGCAAAAGATTGAAAACAGGCAAGGCGCCTGGAATCGATGGGATAAGTAACGAGATCCTAAAGTTGGTAATCGACACTTTACCCCAGATTCTGCTTCGATGCTTCAATCTTTGCCTTGAGAGAGGAGAGTTCTTCCGCGACTGGAAGCGACAGAGGTTAGTCCTCCTAAGGAAAGGTGAAAAACCTCTAGATAAGGTTTCATCGTACAGGCCTATATGCCTGCTAGATACGATGGGTAAACTTCTAGAGGATATGGTTCTGCAGAGAATGCAAAGCCACTTGACCGAAGAGAATCGTCTATCCGATCACCAATTTGGTTTCCGTAAAGGCAAGTCCACGGTTGATGCCATCCAGGCAGTTGTGGACATAGCCAAAGCAGGAAAAAACAAATTGGGACCTGGGAAAAAGAAGAGCTTCTGCGCGTTGGTAGCAATTGACATACGCAACGCGTTTAATTCCGCAAGATGGAAAGATCTCATCGAGTCGATGGAAAAGAAAAACATGCCGCCCTACTTGTTGCGGATAATGGATAATTATCTTAGCGACAGGTGGGTTATATATGAGGGAGACACCTGCACTCTCAAGGAAGAGATGCAGCGTGGGGCTCCTCAAGGCTCGAGGGTAGGTCCATTTGTATGGAATGTATCTTACGATGATTTTCTGCGAATGGATCTGCCCGAAGGTGCGGTGATCATCGGCTTTGCGGACGACGCGTTGTTCGTGTGCACTGCCGAGAGTGAGGAGGCTCTTGGGACATTGGTGAACGAATGTCTGCGACTAGCAAAAAGCTGGCTGGATACCAGAGGTCTTGAAATGGCCCTGGAAAAGACCGAGGCACTGCTGGTCACAGACAGACGTGGTTATGAGCTCCTACGAATCGTGATAGACGGATTCGAGGTCAAGTGGAGTAAACAAATTAAATACCTTGGTGTGGAGTTGGATGGAAGGTTAAACTTCCACCACCACATGGCTATGGCGTCGAATAAGGCGATCGAGTGTGCGGCTAATCTTTCACGGCTAATGCCAAATGTTGGCGGACCCCGTGAACAAAAAAGAAGACTGGTGGCGAGTGTCGCCCACGCTAAAATGCTCTATGCAGCACCAGCGTGGGCCCCATCCCTGAGGAGTAAAAGATGTGTGACCATCTGTGAAAAGATACTGTCTGCGCAGAGATCGATAACAACGCGTATCATCTCTGCATATAAGACGGTATCTACGAGTGCTGTGCAGGTCCTTGCAAGTGTCCCGCCAGCAGATCTTTTGGCGAGGGAAAGGGAAGAAATGTTTCTCTTTTCTAAAGAAAGCAGTTCCTTGAATGAGGAATTAAGACCAAG